TTTGTACTCATATTCAAGTATTCATAGATCCTTGAAAAGAGGCAAAAAATGTGTCAGTGAGTGAACAAGACATTGAGGCCATTAAGATTAGGCAGGGATGCCCAGTGAGTGCAAGCACACTGCTCAAGAATGCTACAGTAGGAGCTATTATTGGAGCATCAGCGAGGGCTTAAACTACCATCAGGGACTAGAACTGAGTCCCACTGGAACTGGAAGACAGGACCAAGTAAGAAAGTGATTATTTTTATGAGATTTAAAAACAACTGAACAGTTACAAAGGAGAGAGAAGGGACAACTGGACAGAAGGGCAGAAAAAGGCCAATAAAGGTCTCTGAATGGAAGGTTTGAAAATTAGGAGAGATGAAAAGAAGACAAGACAGAGTTTTGAGGGGAGGGGATAGAACAGAAGGGAACACTGGAAAGAAAAGACAAGGTTACCAAATGAAAAACTGGATAAGCAGGTGGGTTTTGCTGAGAGGAAGGGATAATGCTCTTAAAAAAGCAGTTCAACTTGGACTAATCTGATTGGGAATTATAAAATGGAAAATGTATATTGGGGGAGGTGGAGATGAGGGCATGGGACAACTGGGAGCCTCTTCTAGTTTCCAAGCTAGATTCTAATCCTTTACTTTCTTTCCACATGGAATTCAATGCTCAGAAGACTGGAGGTATTTGCCCAGCCAGCAACACCAGTTCTCCAGAACAATCTGTCCAGAAAGGTGCCCAGAATTCATGAAGGAGGTATAGGTGTCCCCATGGCAGAAAAGGAGGTAGGAGAAGGGAGAACAATCCTCATCCCAAATTGTAATAAAAAGAACAGAGGAAAAGGAATTACAGCTCTAACCTATACATAATACTTCACTTTCACCATCCTTCAGTCATCCCAGGTCGGAAGTGTGGCTGGGGGGAGGGGGCTCCGGGGAAGGACCTATGACTTGTAGGCAAGTTTAAAAGGGGCCATCTCCTCTTTTTAAAAGCAGCAGGGGGCCTAAAAAAAAGGCTGCCCAAAAAGAAACGGCGGGGAGGGAAGAGGAGGAGAGAGGGATGGCTGCATGAGACAAAACAGCAGACCAGAAATGATGAGACGCTTTCGGAAGGAATGCCTACCACAGGCAAAGTGCAAGCCTGTGAGGGAATGCAGGGAAGGGGGCAGGCGAACCGGTGGAAGAAAACGCCCCCGAGAGGGGAGGAAAGAGCAGCCCGCGTATCCGCGGGCGGGCGTAGAGAGGGGCGGGAGTGATTCAGTGGCAGAGATGCAAAAGATGAGACGCCCCCGAGCAGCCCGTTGGGAGCAGGGAGAGTTTGAGAAGGTAAACAACAGCCACGCCCCCTACAGTCCTCATCCCCACCGCGCAGCTCAATTGCAGCCGCTGCCTGTACATTTCCATTCCCGAATCTCTCTGGGTCCCCCAGCGGCGTGACTCTCGTCCTCCCTCCCTCTCCTCTCCCCACCACCACCACCACCACGCAAGCCAGCCACCCCTCGCTAGGTTACGGCGCGGCTGCAAAAGCTATCAGCGCCCCAGAGAAGCTGATGCCATTCAAAGCCCCGTGGGGCTCTCCCACCCTGGCCAAGGACGGCGCTGCTTCTCCTCCGCCTGCCTCCTGGGCGCATTGTTTATGTCTGTTGCAGGAGCTGGCAGGAACCCCACAACCTCAGCACGTGAGAGGAGCCGATCATGTGGGTGCACCAGCTTCAAGACAGGCAAATGCTCCAAAACGTGCTGCGTCTCAACAAAAATGAAACTCGCGTCTCCTAATTGCCGCGCGATCCCTTTTGCACAGACTTGAGACACACCCCCACCATACACACACACAAACCCCACGTAATTCCCCACATGCAACGCACATTGTTTTACCGTCCACCCCCCTCTCCCGGGTTCATATTCTGGAACCCTATTTTTTCTCTCGATCATCTCCTCCCCCCCGTTGTTCTTAAACTGTGTTGAGTCCCTTCTCCCACTCACCCCCTTAACACCTTCTGGGGTTACCTCTGCCGCAGTCATTAATCCGAGAAATCGTTTCCCGAGGCTTCCGTTCCTTTAAAAAGTTGTTGTTTACATTCCTGCCGCCTCCCTTTTAAAACATGACTGACCAACATGCGCAATCAATCTCTAAAAATGCTGCACATCCCCCCCTTCCTTTGCAGGCAGTACAGTCAGGGAGCAGTAAAACAAATGCAAGGAGGGAAGGGGGAGAATAGAGAGGAGCTGCAAAAACCGGGGGAAAAAATGGAGCAATCCTCCACCCTTTTACCTTGGCTGGGAAAGAGCGTCCTCCAAGAGTTGAGAATGTCCGTCGGGTTACAAGAGAGGTGTAGAGAGAGATGCTCCAGAAATGGAACCGCTTATGGAATCTCCCTTTGCAAAGATTAATCCGGTACCATTGCGGAGGGGGAGAACTACCCCCTTCGCAGGATCCGAAGATGATACCCTCCTTTCAGGAGTAGATATAAAGTAACTCCATAGATGCATTAAAAAAAATCCAAAGAATTGCTTCCAGCTGAGATGGCCGCTCTGTGCAAAATCCAGCAAGCCCTGCGTGCGTGTTTCTGTTTCTTTTTTAATTTCTAGACTTCTTTCCGGATCTTTGTGCAATTGCCCGAACGTCTGCGTCTAGGCTTTTCTATTAATCCCTCGCTGGCGAAGAAGGGACTTCTCTGGAGGAGTATATAAATTAGACTGATGCTGGCGAGTTCACCCCTCGCCCCTCTTCTCTCAATTTCTTCTTTTCTTGCTTGTTGTTTCTTCCTGACGAGCAGCAGGTCCAGGTGCAGCTGCAGACGTGGGTCCCATCCCTGATTGTGCTCGGCATGTGTTGCCTCCCACCCCGGCGCACTCTTCGCCCACCCCTCCCCTCCCCTCCCCTCCCCTGTTTTCACCCCCTTCCGATGCGCTGAGTCCCCATCTCTTGTCTCTCTGGTGCCCTGGGCAGCTTGAAAAGGGTCGGGTTGCACAGGCGGACTCGCTTTCCCTCGCGTTCTGCCTCCAAGTCTGCTCAGGTCACTTTCGCAACGATCTCCAGCCTCGCGCGCTCACCACAGTGGCGGCAGTGCACGCACAGATCACAGAGCTGTAACACTTTCTTCGCTTCCTCCGCTTTTCATACGCACACCCCCATCTCTTCTCCCCCCGTCGCGAACGCTTTCACCTCCTCGAAGCTATGCAAAGGCGTATGCTAGCCTGCTGCTGCAACCTTACAAAAAATAAGCTTATACTTAACAAAATCTTTTGGCGCCATATTAATGACGTACTTCAAATTTGCCATTTCTTCCTGCGTCAAAAAGACGTTTCTTACAAATAACAGATGAGGTGCAAAGCAGAGAGGGCGAGTGCAGGAGTGAGGGGGATGGGGGGCAAGAGGGGAAAAAAAGAGGGAGAAAGACCCTCGGACCGAAAACGGCGCGTGGGGGGCGGGGCGAGTACATTGAGTAGAAGTGTACGAGGACAGGGCAGGGGCAAAGTGTCGGGGCAAATGTAGACCGGAACGAAATTGTTCTCCTGCGGGCCACAAAGTTATTAGGCGGCAAGCGAATGGTTATTTGTGATTGAAAGGGTTCCCCGGATCACCTTGGGCCGAGATTAAGCTTGCTTTAGGCACTTGCTCCTTTTCAGGAGCAGTGCCAAGCGGGAGAAGAGAGCGGAGCAATGTCGCTTCCCCCCACCCCCTCCACATGTCGTCCCATGAAGCCGGGCCGCTTCGTTCCCGGCAGTCCTCTCTTCCCTCGGCTATCACAAGGCTGCTTGAAAGCGGCGAGGGTATGAACTTGGCGCCGTTTGCACAGGAAGAGAAGCACCCAGGGCCGCCCTCCTCTAGGTCTCGACTTGACCTTGTGATGCACAAACAATGCACTTCAATCCGTGGCTGGAAGGGTGTTTGTTTCTCTGTGGTGGCAGCGGCAGCCGAGAGCTGCTCCAACATCCAGCTGGCCACACCCACCGCTGCCTGCTTTCGGCGGGCACCTACTTCTAGAAGAAGCGTTGTGATTTCACGCAGGAGGAAAGAGCGGCGCAGGCCGTCTACCTGACCGGCTCCCGCCCACTCCAGCCACGAATCTCTCCCCGGATGCATCCTTACACCCGCAGTCCGGGGGCTTGTTAGCCTTTCCTTCAGTGGCCCCATTCGTTCAATCACAGGGAGAACTTTCTTCAGAGCTGGTACTGCTGCTCAGGTTTTGGATTCAAGAGTTATCATTGCTACCATTCTTCACTACATCAACTGGCATGTTTTCTGGCTAAGGAAGAGCGCACCACCGCACGCACGCACGCACGCACGCACGCCACAGCTCTTGCAATTTTGACTGTAGGATTACGATTTGCAATTTGGCTTCATTTCAGCTAGAAACTCCCCTGGTGGTCCTCCTGTCTCTTGGCCTTTGCTCCCTCCTCATCAGTAAAATGGGAGTCATGGTGTGAGAACAAAGCAGATAAAGACCCTTACTGTATTGCTATCAGAAATTGTATTAACTACACTAGAGTTTTCATTTTAACTGAGTAGTTTTCTAAACAATGGAGGTTGTGGAGTCAAGGATAATACCTCTCACATCAATAATAGCTATCAGCAGGAATGTCTGCAGGGAGAGGGTCAAAAAAGTCAATATGGCGTCCATTCACCTTGTGATCAAAGCCCCACCTTTTTTATGTGCTTCATGACATGGTGGGGCTTTGATCATATGGTTATGGCCCCTATCATGGCTTGTTTGACCCCCTTCCTGTGGACACCCCTGACCATAGGTATTGAAGCACATATTTAAACGATATGATGATGCCTCCGAATGTCTAAAGGATAGCTTGCTGGCTGAAGGTGATGAGGAATTGTAATCTAACATATTTGGAGATCATAAGAATAGGGAAATAGCTTAACCTAATTTAATCTTACACTATATTTGGAGATTATTTTGGACTTTCTAGGTCCAAATCCTAAACATAGGTTGCCTTCAAGTAGTATATTGAACAAATATCAAGTATAGCAAGTTGCCATGTTTCTTGTTTGGTCAATGCGCTGCATGTATAGATTAGAATGGTTGCTAGGAGTCAAAAATCATCACCATCAGTTCAGGCTTCCCCAATCTTATTTTCCAATATAGTGGTCTGCCACTCCCATCATTCAATCAGCTATCTTGAGTGAGGACAATGGGAGCTAAAATGAAACATCCTGAGGACAATTGCTTAAAGAATAATCCAGAATCAATTTTGCTATGACTCCCTACTTCGTTTGAATTAGCATGCCCTGTTTTTACCAAGGATAAATAGTTTATCGGTCATATAGATTCCTGCTGGAATAGGTCCACCCAATATGGCAACTGAAATACAAGCATAAGCATAAAAAGCAATAATAGAAGCAATATATTATTAAAAATTATTATTAAATATATTATTAAATCCTTAATACAGAAGCCTGATAATAGAGTAGGCAATGTTACTGCATGTCATCTAGAATAAGAACTATAAAGCTTCATTCTTAGAAATTGTCAGAATCAAGGAGTCTGCCATATATATGTACGTATATGAAAAATAGTGCTTTACTGTTGCACCTGTCAGGCAGCACCAGAACACACGTGTTGGATCAAAACCAAATTGGATAGGCCTCAAGTAACAGAATTTGGTCATCTGCAACATGAATAGATAAATTCTTCAAGAAGTTCATCCAATGTATCCGGTTAATTCAGACAAAGATGTCATCTTCTCATGACAGGGATGCAGCTGTTATCTAAGATGCCCTTCCTGAATCCCATCTTTTAACCTTTGTTGCCCAAACCTCATGCAGCACCGGATTCAGTGGCAAGGACCACCAGCTGCAGATCAAAGGTGTAGCTGGCTCACAAATAACATTTCTTCACTCCAGGCTAAAGGCACATAACCCAGCTATATTGCTGTGATGAAGACAACTTGTTAGTTTCTGAATGATTGTCCAACTGGAAAGTCCCTTGTACATACTGTTTTGAGCCTTATAGTAGGATATATTCATAATTGATAAATCGAACAGATATTACAGATCCATGCAGTTGTATGGCCACAATTAACATAGGCCTCATGGAGTGAGGAGGGAGAAATCCCATCCTCAAGGTTGTAGACATGGAAGAGTTAAAGGAAAATCTAAATCCGATCTGTTAGTCAAATGTGACCTGTCAATCTAGATAGAGGGGTGTAGAGAATCAGAGAGAAGACCTTGAGGGAAATAGGCAAGAGCCATTATATATAAAAAAAGAGGGCTGAAACTTTCTTTAAGTCCTGGAAAACAAGATAGTATTCAGAACAGACACAGGCAGGCTCCTCCCTGATTCACTAGGACAGTGTTCCTCAACCTTGGCAACTTTAAGATATGTAGACTTCAACTCCCAGAGTTCCCCAGCCAGCATGGCGGGCTGGGGAATTCTGGGAGTTGAAGTCCACATATCTTAAACTTGCTAAGGTTGAGGAACACTGCACTAGGATATAAGAGGGAGGGGAGATAAAGCACAATCAGGGTTGCAAGATTCTGTTATAATAGCCTATCTCAATAAAGTATAGACTAGAGTTTTCCTGTGGAGTCTGTTTCCTGATCTGGTTTACCCCAACATGGGCAGAGACAACCGAACACTAAAGAGCCAACCAGGTACAGGAAGATTCCTCTCTCAGGTGAGCTGTTTTTAAAAAAAGAAGGGGCAACTCCATCTTTGTTTTGTTTTTGTCTTTTTGCTAATCCTGTGGTGAACACAGCCCCAATCCTGAACAATCTGGGATTAGAGATTTAGGGAAAATACAGCAATTTAAGGAACAGTAGAGCTGCTTGTGGGTTTTATTCTACGGTAAAGTCAGATCTGAATTTTACTTTTGGAAAATTATTTGTGTTATGTGCCTCTATTATATTTTGTTCTACTTGTTCTTCCTGTGTTGTATGTGTTTGTGCGTGCATCCATGCACACATATTCCTGTCTGAGGGGAGTTTTCTAGATAAACCCTGCAGAAGTCATTGTTACTTTCTTCTTTCTCTTTTTGGCTTTCAACTCCCTTTTGGTTCCTAAACCTTGATACATGATTATAATAAAGACTTGCACTCTTACTGAATCAGTCCTTTCATTCTGAAAGCATTTTAACCTTAGTATAGGCATTCCTCCCCCCTCCCCCCCATTTGCTTAAGCTACAAAAAGAACGGAATACAGGGGAGGAAGTCACTACTTTACCTACTCATAAGTAATTTAATGCCAGGATTTTTTTTTTTTAACAAAAAGTGATTAGTTGTAGCATACCAAGTAGATTCTCCCCAGAAATGTGGGAGGGCATAGCAGGAATTATGGGGGGAAGGATTTAGGGACCTCACTCAAGGGAGACAGAGGAGCCAACCCATCACACCCCAGACCAGTGTGCATTCACATACCCATCCTGTAAAAATAATTGATTAATAAGATCTGTGACATGGTACTGTATCTGAGTGCAAAAATATGTTCACTGAAGAAATATAAATAGTAAATACAAAATGGAACCTTGTACAAAATGGATATAAAGAGGAATAAAAATGCATTTTTAACCCTTTCTCAGGTGCCTGTATCTATTGTTAGAGTTTCAGGAGAAAGTCTCAAGATGACTTACTAGAACATACTTTTCTCCTTGTAAATCTTGTTCTAATTCCTGTATTCATCTAATATTTCTATAAGATGAGTTAAGTGAGTGACCTGAGGCAATGTCTTTTAAAACCTAGCAAACCTGCAATTCTGTTTCAGTTATAGGATTCATAAATCATGCTATGTCAAAAGTTTTAATTTATGGTTTGTTAAGTAAGCCACAAAGGCCTGTTTCACACAAAATGCTAAGCCATAATAGCTGGGTTCACATATCACACTAAGCCCAAAACAAAACAAAGCACATTATAGTTTAGTGCAATGGGTGAATCTATATAATGTCTCAAGAAGGAAAGCAGTGGTCACTAGCATTCTGGTCAAGGATTGGAATACCCAGCGATGGACAGAGGGATCATTTTTTTCTTCTCCTGCTTTTCCTGTCCCAGGATCAAAGCCTTGCCTCTCCTTTCTTTAGTCTTAGTATCTGCTGGAAAAGCAAAAGGGGCAGAGATTCTCTATGAAAGAGTACAACAGCTATGATGTTTGGGAACAGGAATATGTTCAGAACAAGGATTGTTCTGAAACTCTCATCATACATTCAGGCTATATGTATGTGTTCATAAACACCATAAATCTTCAGAGACATCTTGTCAAAGTAA